GATCAGCTGTTCCTCAGGGGCATAAGCAGAGAGGGGTTTTGCCTTTGGGTGGCTTCCTAAAGCCTGCCCCAAGGGAATCCCACCCCTGGGGCTGGAGCATGGCTTGGTTCCCCTTTCCTCCTCTTCCTATGCCTGCGTGGCATAGGAAGAGGAGGGAAGGGATCAAAGAGGGATCAAAGGGATCCCCTAGCTGCTGCAGGATCCCTTTGACCTCTGCTTTCCCTCCTCTTGCACTAGTCGCAACTTACTATTCGATTTCAACAAATGCATATTCTTATTTCTGCTCAGTGGTAGGAACACCATATATTACGAGCATCGTGAAAAATCATATTAGGGCATATTTTCAGGTTAGGTCTTATTTTTGGGGAAACAGGGTATTAGTCCAAATGGATTTGGTCTGATGAGGCTTAGCAGAGAGATATTATGTTTACACATATAAATGGTGTCTCGAGGATCAGGCTTCAGCATGTCTGCTGGGTGTTCTATCTTGCCACGATTGTTCTGAATCCGGCTTCTACGAGTAGCTACTGTCTGTGGGACGTGAGCAACCTCATTCATTTTCAAAAGAGTTTCATCTAAGAAGAGATAAAAAGAAACAAGAAAGGGATGAAATGAGGAATGATTTATCTTCTTAACAGAGCAGGCGAAATTTCCATTGTTACAAATACAGTACATCTGGTTCTGGCAAGGTTTGGCACATATTCCTAGCAAATATTGGAAGATGTCTCAGATTTCATATCTTCAAAATAAGTCTCTTGTTTGGAAACATTGGCCTGGCAACCCAAGCTGAATTCTACATTATAAAATTACAATTCATAATGTAGATGAATCTATGGCCATCCATCAAAGCACATTTTCTGGACAGCTTCTGTGCTGAGGATTGCAATATTGACAAAGAAGATAAGAACTGAAAACAATTTTAAAAAATTAAATGAATTTTATGTGAGATCCAGTCTGTCACAATATTCCTGCATCTGCCAAGGAGGTACTGAGAACAGATATATAGCTGTTAGTCTTTCAGGGGCCACTATATATATATATATTCTCAGTACCAATGAGGCCACCACATTTTTGTCTTTTTTAACTTTTTATTTTTATTTTGTTATTTAATTTTATTTTTATTTTGTGTTTGCCTATCATGAGAAAAAAGGTTGCCAAAAAACAAAGACAACCTTATTGGGTATTATTAACTCTGTGGTGGAAAGGTACTTACTAAAATAAAGGGAGAGGAACTGAGAGTCAATAATTGTAAACTTGGTTTCAGGATCATTTCGCTTCCACTAGAAGAGAAAGACAGATGTATATAAAACTTAGACATTTGTGAATTAAGCAAACACACAAACACACACACACACACACACACACTGATTTGTATGTAACTGGCAAACCTTCAAGCCAAATGCAAACCACTGAAGACTAGACTGTCTTCACCAAACTGATGTCCTCTAAATGTGTTACGCTATAACTTCCAAAGCCCCATAGCCTGCCCGCACTTCTAGAAGGCATCAGTTTAGGAAATTTGACTAAAACATTGTGGCTAGTCATTGTTCAAGGAGACTGCAAAAGAGCCCGAAAAACCCACAACAACCATCAGACTGCAAAAACATTTATTAAGTCTTGGTGGACTTACAATCCAGGGGTTGTATATGTAGAAGACTGCATATGAAATGCTATGTTTGACTTCCTAATCTAATTCATACAATTCTAATTTAGGAATTCCAACATTGCATTGTGTTGCCAGTTAGTGACAATGATATAAGCTTCTTCAAACAGCAGAAAGGACAACTAAAGCTTGGAAAACAGACAGTCCCAGCCATTATAACTCTTTAAAATACATATTTCATTTTTCTTATGTGGGGATCAACTGTACAGTTTATGCTTCCTGCTGTCTTTTTTGCGATCAACTGTACAGTTTATGCTTCCTGCTATCTTTTTTGCTGCAAGTAAACAGATCGGGCTGTTGATATATACAATGGCTGACCAATAAATATATTGCAAAGGTGGCAGGCAAAAATAATAGGAACATATTTCTTCCATGGTACACCCTATTTCAAAAAGATTTATCTCCCACACAGACTTTTAAGAAGTGGCCTTCAGGCTAGGCTCCTGAAAAATATGCTAAATAAATAGGCCATAGCTAGCTTTAGCACTTACTGCCACTTCTACATGATCTGTTCCTTTGTCATCTTGCTTGTGTAGCACCTCAAAGTAGTACTTTTTTGTGGCCGACAGCCTATGAGAAGAAATAGACAAAAGTTTGTGTCTATTGTTATGAAAGCAGAGCAGTTGGTTATGATTGCAGGTGCCAATGCAACTTGCATGCAACTTCTATTTTGCTGTCATAAATGGGATGTACTTTATTGTTCTAGCCTAGAATATAAAGAATATCTTTTAAGATGAACACAAAACTTGGCAGAAACAAGTTCTCTTCAAGCCTTCTGTAAATGGTTGTTGTGGGTTTTTCGGGCTCTTTGGCCATGTTCTGAAGGTTGTTCTTCCTAATGTTTTGCCAGTCTCTGTGGCCGGCATCTTCAGTGCTGTCCTCTGAAAATGCCGGCCACAGAGACTGGCGAAACGTTAGGAAGAGCAACCTTCAGAACACGGCCAAAGAGCCCGAATAACCCACAACAACCATTAGATCCCAGCCGTGAAAGCCTTCGCGAATACTTCTGTAAATGCATCCTTCCAATTAAGGGGCAAGGTTATTGATTTCTACATTTTTCCTGATCGCTCAAAAGTCTTCAGGAGAGTCAGGCAACCAATCAGTTAATTCATGTAAGATAATCATAAAGAAAACATTTCTCCCATCTAAAGAAGGTTTCAGCCTGTCTATGCTAAATGTGTGATAATGGGAAATAACCCAAGACACAGTGACCTATCATCAGATAGCCAGCCTGTCAAGTCATATATGTAAATAAACAATACTGATTGTATGAATCTATCTTGAAGTGTGATTATTTTAAAAAAAACTGAACTACCTTTGTGTCCTCAAAGAAATACAGGTGTGTGTGTGTGTGGGGGGGGGAACTAGTAGGTCTACAAGATATACCATCAATAGCCACCAGGGAGAGCTCTAAAGTTAATCAAGCAGGTCAGATTTGCTGATCTGGAAATTTAAAAATTTCCCTTTTCAAATAATATGAAGCCATAAGGCTGTAAAATGATATTTTAAAAAAACTTGAGTGATTAATTTGACAGACAATGCGTGTGTTCAAGACAGGGGGGGAAACCCTCAAATGACTAATGCAATACTTAACCATGAATCATGAAAATCTGCAATACAAAAAAAAGAAGAATTCAGTTCTTGATCACTTACTTCACTGGCTTTGATTTTTGACTCTTGAATTTCCCATACTCCCCAGGTGCTGTCCACTCCTTCCCAGTCTGCATAAAGAAAGAGAAAACATTTATTTTCTATTACCATTCGTGTACACTAAAGATATGTACATGTTTGTCTTCCTCAGCAGTTCCATGCACCCAACTCCAGGTGAAACAATACAGATGCTGAATGATTCATTAAAGCCCAAGCTGCTAATTATTATTATTTTTAATAGTTCTTAAACATTAGGGCAGAAAACCATCCAATTATTTGTAGACCTAAGATGAGACTAGTAAAGCGTGAGACGTTTTTATTTCGTTATGCCTCATCAACTTGCATGCAACGTCTTGCATGCAATCCTATAAGGACTTTCAAGGTTTGTGAGATATGTAAAGAGTGGTTTTACCACTGCCTGACTGGATACCTCAGTGGGTTAGATCTTTGGCTACAAAGCCACAGGTTGGGAGTTAGATTCCCCACTATACTCCCTGTGAGTAGAGCCAGCTTGTTTGGCCACAGTCCCAAGGTGCACCCAGAAGAAGGGAATAGTAAACCACTTCTGGGCATTCTGTACCCTGAAAAGGATTGTCATTCATGAGAATCAGTAACAATCCAAAATTGGAATGGAAGGGGGAAGAAATCCTTGGCCATTTTAATACCTATAGGCTTGAAATCTATTACTCTACAGTGCCAGTCTTTGTTATCCAACATGCAGCTGAAAGATGCTTAGAACTACAGACCTGGAAAGGACCCTGTGAATCACTGAGTCTAGCCCTTGTCGAAATGCAGAGCTGGAAAGGACCCTGTGAATCATTGAGTCTAGCCCTCGTCGAAAAGGTACAGTGGGGAAATTGAACTCCATACCTGACCTATTGAACTATCCAGCAGTTCTATCCTTAAATGATGTTTCTAGCTGAATCCAATGAAGGCAGAATTGTTTCCCATTCCACACTGAACTTGATTGGCTTTCCTCAACCTGGTGCTCTCCAGATGTAGTAGACCGGTGGTCTCCAACCTTGGGCCTCCAGATGTTCTTGGACTTTAAATCCTGGCCAGCTGAGGTGGTGGTGAAGGCTTCTGGGAGTGGTAGTCCAAGAACATCTGGAGGCCCAAGGTTGGGGACCACTGTAGTAAACTACTACTCCCATAATCCCTTGGTCACCCAGGCTTGCATAGATTATGGAGGTTGCAGTCCAATGCATCTGGAAACCACCAGGTTGTGAGAAGGCAGAAGCTGGTGTACTGACACTGATCAGAAGAAAAAAAGTCCTTTCTCCTTCCAAATTTATTTCCCTAAATACTGAACAAATCTCGTTGATGGCCTTATTATCCTCCAGGTGGCTATCCCTGCACTTAAGAATGAAGCCGGAAGTACAAGAAATACTTTCTCCATGTTTTTAATACATGCAATTAGAGATGGGCATTCACTGCAGATCAGGCCCACAGGTTTGCTGGATCAGGCCCACAGGTGTTGTGTGGGTGCTCTGGATTCTACATCCCACCCCCTCCCATGGGTGCCCACTCAGAGAAGGCAAGGGAGGGAAGCCCACGGCACTGCTTCTGATGGCACATTTATTTGGAGGTGGGGTGCAGAATTCAGGGTGCCTGTGGGCCCAATCTGCTGAACCCCACCAAAGCACAGTAAGTGCCCACCTCTACATGCAACTATAGTTCATTCTGTTTACATTTACAGCAAAGCGAAAGGGTAGGCTGCCCTTCTACGTGAATAAATGGAGGTATAAAAATCCCCGTTAAACGTGGTTTAGAAATGATAATATTTTACATGAGAAACAGTATGTTGTGGTGTAATTACACTCCCCACACACAATGTTAAGGTCTATACCATATCTAAGCATGAACAGCAGGAGAACATGTACAGCACAGCTTTCTCATCTAACATTTATAATGCCTCCAACACAAGGTTGTTCAACGGGATCCCAAATACTGTAAGTGTTAGATATGACTGATCTGTGTAACCCTGATTTATATAGTGGTCCTGAGACTGTCCCTCCTATGTATTCTGAGATACTATTTAGGAAATTCATTACAGATCAGGCTCTTGTTAATGAAAAATGATCAGAACTGCTAAATTTTGGGGGACCAGAATTATTTGTGCATTGTTTTGTCATGGGCACTGCAAGACACAAACATGGGCAAGACACAAACTTATGCTTCTGTTTCTCTCAAGTGTTTATGGCAATGCCAAATGAAGAAATCAAAGAGCAGCTACTGTACCTTGCCTACACTGGCCAGCAGTTGGAGGTCTGAGATGTTCTCACTTCGACTTAACCAGAACTCTGCATTGTCATCAGCAGCAATGGCAAACTGAAATTCACCTTTAAAAAGAGTGCTGGAGTTAACTAATATATTCAGAATTCCATGCAGAAAAGGGAGAACTACCTTTTACTCCAATAGACAGTGAGTCTAAATTGCTCCAAGTCTGATAGCTAATCCTCTTACTATGTACTTCAGCAAACAATCAGAATCACAAGGTATTTTTCTTCCTGTCACTCTACCCCCTTTTTCTGAGGCTGCAGTTACATGTCGAAATACTCCTTTGTTTGCGTCAGGCTTAACACACTTGAAATTGATTTTATACACATATAGCTAAGTGCACTTTTTTTTGGTTGGGATGTGTGTGTTTTTTTTAATTTGGAAAGGGTGTTTAAAAAATTCAATTATGAATGCAATGTATTTTGAATTGTTTTTACATGCATGCACACGTTTCAGAGTAAATTGTGTCTGTGGGGTTTGTTCAAGTATTGGATGCCAGGATCATGGGGTTTGGGCTGCAGAGTAACCTTACACTCCAATGTGTTCTATATATATATATTTCCTATCTGTAACACTAATCTAGCGCTATGCCAGTTTGATTTTTTTTAAAAAAACATGGCTTTTGTCTCTGCTGCCCATGTCATCTCAACACAGGAAGTCACCAGCAGCAGCAAGTGGTGGTAAGAGACACCCCATGTAGGGGCAGTCAGGTGCAGGACAAAAACCTCAAAAGTGCTTCCAGGGCAATGTATCAACAACCAGAGTTTCTTCTGATAGCTATGGCAGCATGGAGTTTTATTTTATTTTTTTTGGTGTCAACATTTCACTCCCATAATGCTAGCCTTGGGAGGGCAAAACGCAGGAAGCTGGAGCCCCACTGTGCCAATTTTAAAAGACATGTATGATATACCACACATCTTATACCTGGATTTAAATTTGACCCACAACTACCACATGTCTTTAACTTACTTAAAAAATTCCAGTTCAGCTGCTGATATATTTCAGTAATGTAACCATGCCCTCACTGCACTTAACAATGAAGCTGGAAGTACAAGAAATACTTTCTCCATGTTTTTAATGGGCACTCGCTGCAATTCAGTGGATCAGGGTGGTTTGGTGGATCAGGCCCACAGGTGTTGTGTAGGTGCTCTGGATTCTACATCCCACCTCCACCCATGGGTGACCACTCAGAGAAGGCAGGGGAGGGAAGCCCACGGCATTGTTTCTGATGACACCCATAGGAGGGGGGGTGCAGAATTGAGGGTGCCTGTGGGTCCAATCTGCTGAACCCCACTTCTTCCAGTGAGCACTCAGGGTTGGTTTCCTTTAGAATGGATAGGTTTGTTCTCTTTGCAGTCCAGGGGACTCTCAAGAGCCTCCTCCAGCACCACAATTCAAAGGCATCAGTTCTTCGGCGGTCAGCTTTCGTTATGGTCCAGCTCTCACTTCCATACATCACTACTGGAAAAACGATAGCTTTGACTATGCAGACTTTTGTTGGCAAGGTGAGGTCTCTGCTTTTTAAGATGCTGTCTAGGCTTGTGTAGAAATGATGATATTGTACATGAGAAACAGTATGCTGTGGTGCAAGGAATTGGAACAAATGCTGTTGTTGCCTAATTGAGCTTTCTTAATTTTATATGACATCTATGCTGCAAGTGTAAATTAGTTTGAAAGGTCACGGTTCCTCACTTTCCCATCATGAATGCTGTTTTGTTAAGAGGTCTCTAAATTTTTCACAGTTATAATTAAAAAAGGTTCACTGAAAGGAAATTAACAGCAGTGTAATCAGTGGGAGCTTACAGTGCATACCTTTCCTGCTATTAGATACAACACTGAAATTCCAAACAAAGAACTGTTTTTAGAAGTAAATCAGTTTGATTGACTGATACATTTCCTTTATATTTAGCCAGGCTTGCAAAATACACAAGGTGACATGAACAGCAAAAACAATTTTGCTTGTGTTTGGCTCTAGCAAACGAACATCGCTCCCCTCTCCATCCCTCAAGAAGTTGGAGAGGTTTGGACTGTTAGCTGAGTGTAAAATAAATAAAGCAAAACAAACACAAGAAAACCCAGACAAGACAAAATTCACTCATTTGGAAAAGAACTGTAAACTGAAGAAACAGAAATGTCAAAAAAGAAAGAAAGAAAGTAGACCACTTTCTGTTGTAATAGGAGGCCTGCAACTCTTTGAAATAATGGCTAGAATCCTATCAACAAGTTGCACATAAGTGGAAATTCTCACTTATTGATGAGAGTGTTTGTGCCCTGGAATGCAACCCATATTTCATCAATAATTCCGTGATTTCCCTTGCACAGGTTAAACTGGCAATAGGATTCTGGCCAATAGTTAGATCTACAAGCAGCATAATAGAGGCAGATTTTATATTATAGCAAAAATACATGATGCTTGCATATAGCCAGAAGCAGATTACTAATTTTATTGCCAGATTTCTCCCTGTCCTGCCAGTGAGGTATAGGTACTGTATATGTTCTGTATAAACTAGTCTATGCTTAGACTTGCCCCCTGGCATTCTGGATTCCTGAGTTGGACCAAATGATAGATCTGTCACAAATATCACTTCCAGATGGGCAGCTTCCTGGGTCAGGGGACTCCCCTAGACCCTGGAAAGGAGGCACCACTGCTGGATGGTCTGTCCCGGCCAAATATACCATTTCACTGGGCATTTAAATTTGGTGGCAAATAAAGAGGCACTCCATGGTGCAGGGAAATGCTACAGCCTCCCTATGGTGCAGGAGGGAATTTTTAGCATCCTCCGACACTGCAGAGCCATGGAAGTCCACAAGGCAGAGGATTCATTTCCCTTCTTGACGTGATGTGGAGGAAGAGAAAAAGAAAGGTGAAAGCTGTTGCAATGGGTGGTGGAAGCAGGCGACGTGATTCTATGGTCACAGGAGGCAATGTGATTTACAGAAGAGGGATACGGCTGGCACGCTGCCCACACTTGCCATTCATCTCCATTCAGTGATAAGTACTTGATTTCAATGGGAGAGAAATAAACTCATGCTCTACCTTTCTTTGCAGAAGCAAACCCTACTACATTTCAATGGACTTACAGATGAGAAAAGGATTGTGATTTTAAGTGTGTACATTGGCTAAATGTAACCTGCCTCTACTCTTTTTCTTTCCTGTTTTCCTTTTTTGTAGCCCGCTTGAAAATGACTAGCCTCTCAATATGCCACAACAACAAATTAGTATTTGCTTGTTCAAGAAACCAAAGCACATGTAGGACTTTAATAAATGCCTTTATAAAGTGAGCTGTGTGTCTATTTTGAGAATCAAAGTTCTGTGAAATTAGGAATCGCAGCTTTCAGCTTTAGCATGGCCAAATATTCCTGACAGTTTTGCAAACCATCTGAATAGAGCTCCAGAACCATCCCTAATCGATTGGCAATAGTCTGAGAATCTCCTAGGCCAGATCCTTCTAAAATCTGGAAACAAAAATCAAAACCTTCCTGTCTAAAACTGAATCCTTCCACTCTCATCAGCTCTGCTGCAACCTAAACCTACTTAAGCCTCTTCTCACCATCACTGAGTGGATGCAGATACCCAAATATGCGCAGTCCGTAGTTTGTCCATGCTGGAGATGCTGCCAGTTTCTTCAAAGTGGCCCTTGTCTGAAAATGCAACAAAAAAGCAGAAAAGCATAATTGTTACACTGATCAGGAGTTAAAAAGAGAAGCAAATGGAATAACCAAGAGAAGAAGGCACAAGAGAACAAAAAAGAGAACTCTTAAGACTAAGGTTTTGGGGAGAGTGTGACTTTTTTATGCTCTTAACACTGTAGGAGATTCTTTAGCTAACCTTTTTACAGTTCTGGTTTCTTTTGAATAAAGCTTTTTTAGCAACAAGCTATTTAATGATCAATAATATCAATATGCAGACTAACCAGCAGAGAAATAATGAGGTACACAAGGACAAGTAGTACTGATCCTAAAGTAGCATTAATCCTAAAAGCAACAGCACTACTTCGTAATGCCATGAGCCCGCTTTTTGCTAGCCAGAAACCTCTTTTGGAATCTTAGGTCAGAATCCTACTGCCTCATTCTGTTTGCAAAACAGAAAGCTTTTGGGTACCAGTAACAGTGGACCCTCTACTTACGGAATTAATCTGTATTGGAACGGTGGCTGCAGGTCGATAAGTCTGTAGGTCGAGTCTCCATTGATCTACAATGCATTGAAAACCAATTAATCC